TCTTCCTTGCTGAAAAAAAAAATGGGGACCATGTACCTCTTTTTGCTGACCATTTGTCTCTCCAACAAAGCCTATTTTCTTTAACCTATCTCATAGAACATTGGGGTATTTACCTTTCCCCACCTTGTTGCCATTCAGTAAATGTTAACTACTCCTAGTTCTACTACTCTGGAGTTAGTTCCTCTTATAAAGGAAGCTGCAGAGGAGATGCAATAGTCTCAAGTACACCCACCCTGTTTATGAAGTCAGCCGTATAAAATTTCCTGCCTAAATGACAACAGATGTTCTCAGTCCGTTCTTGCTAGTTTCACCTGGGCTCTCTTCCAGGTGCTGGTATTATGAATAAAGTTCTCTAACAAAGTTTTTGAGCAAACTAAGAATGATCAGAGATAAAGTTTCAAGTTAATATCCTCCTAGTCTTTACATATGTGCAAATAATTTAGCTGTTTGTGAAGTTTTTAGGGATTCAAGGCACAAGCTTAGAAAATACACTTACAAGAAACCTCAGGAGCAAAAAAAAAAACATAGATATGGAAACTGGTTTTTGAAAATTTGATCTTCGGTGTTCTGAATTCTCATCCTTAAGCTAAATTTAAGATAGTTTTACTGACAAAGAGAGAAAAGGAAAATATTATGCTTTGAAGCAGAAGTATTATATGCCTGACTTTTTGCAGCTTTTATGATATAGTAAAGAACCGTAATGATTTTTTCATTTAAAAAAAAACAAACTGAGGGGCAAAAAGAGCATGCATCCAATAGCATGTCCCACTAACTTAAAGCAAAACCAAAATAACTCAATGTACAGAAGCACAATAATGAAATTTCTTTTGAAAAATTCCATAAAAGAAAGAAGTCAAATCTGCAGATGATCCAGAGAAAAACATGTTTATAAACATATAAAAGATGGAATTCCTGCTTTCGAAGACTTTTATAGGCTAAAAACACAAGTGAGGAAAAATATTTTTGGAAAAAATTCTAAGCCATGAGATGTAGCAAATGCTTCATCAATAAGGAAGCTCTCATTTTCTACTTTCTAGTAAATTTTCAGATTTTCACACTGAGATAAGAAGGCTTTCATGCTCCAAGCCAATAAAGAAACATATTGCCTTAAATTTACTGTCCTCCTGCTTCTTAAATGTGCCCCATCTTCTGTAACAGCCCCTAAATGTTGGCCTTCTTGCCGCCTTTCACATTGCTATTTGTTGAAAACACAAAACGGATATTTCTGGGACTCCTTGACGAGGAATTGGTGATATGACCCTACACGTGAAAACCTTTAAGAGGTGAAAAACAGCTGAGCCTACAGTGGACTTTCACCTATATCTTTGTGCTTTGCCTATGGGACGGACTTCAAGATGCTCACATGTTCATTATTTGCATTAACTCTAGTTTGGTAAGTCTAGCGGACTTGGAAGTGGGAGGAGGTAGAGAACTAACAAAAGGAGCTAGCTATGAAACTGTTGAATAGATGGAGAATCAAGCAAATGGAAGAAATAAAATCTCCCACAGTTAATGTTGAGTGAACCAGAGACGTTTTTTCAATGCATAGCTTAGATTTAAATTTGCTTTTCAACAGCTTTTTAAAAAGCAGGTATAGCCCATACTCCTAACAGACAGTAGAGATGGTTCAGTCACGCCTGACCTAGCATTTTTCTTGTCTTTGAGCTGTAGCCCTGCTCCACTGACCTTGTTGTGCCCTGAGATTAGTTTGCCCCTAACTGGAGCTGGAAACATGCACAACTCCAGGGGGCGCTGTTCACACACACTACAGTGTGAAGGGTGCAATGTGAAAGCCACCCCTGGAGCTGTGCCACACTGACGTGTTCCTGCTAAAGGGATGCTCAGGCCACTGTGCTGCTGTGGCTCTCATCTGGGCCAAAGACATTCTACATTTAATTGCTAGAGCCTGTAATGAGCGGTGAAAAAACGGATATGGAGATAACATTTATGAATGACCATCATTTACGTAATAAACCATAGGCTGAGATGAGAAGTTTAATTTACTAATCCTTCAAAACCTACAAGACTCTTTGGGTCTCAACCCCACCCCACTCTTCTTTTGTCTCATTCTTCTCTGAGTTTGCATATCTCTTCTCCTCTCCCCAAACCCTGTGCATCTCTCTCCATTTGTACCTTTCATTCTCAGTATGTCTCTCCCCTTATATCTTCTCCCTTTCCTTTTGGTCTCTTTCATCTTTTTTTCTGCTTATAACTTTCATTTCTCCAATCTGCTATTCTAAGCATTCCCTATATGTCTCACTTTCTCTATCTTTCTCTTTTCTTTCTGTGTCCCCAGGCACCATTCATCTCCATCTGCCTTTTACCTTCTGTTTACTCTTTCTCTTGCTGTTTCTTTAATCTTTTGTCTATATCTTTTTTCTTCTATTTTTCTAGTTTCTTTCTTACTATCTTTTCCTTTAACTGACCATGATGAGAAACCAAAGTGTGCTTGTTCAGTGTCTTCTCTGTGGTCTCAGTTTAATTTTTCTTCCATATCTGTGGTCCTTGAAAATACACTGAAGATACTTCAAAAGTAAACCTCAATAACCGTGACATTTAAAGCTGGCATTTTCATTATACCTTGATCATATTGCAATTTTATAAATATCATATATGCTAAAGAATATTTTTGTAATATTTATTTCTGCACATGAGACTATTAAAGTGCATGCTGTGTGACAATCTCAAATCTACATATCTTCCTCATTGATTTTGGAATTCTTGAAAAAATGCTTAAAACTATGTCAAAACTTTTCTCAAACATGTGTCTATATTTCTATTGACTATTTGTGTACAGAAAAGGAAAGGTTTCCTGCTGGCCTTGTTTCACCCAATTGTTACACTTGCAACAAAGTCTGCCTCTGGGAAGCAACAGTCTCACAATTTGGGGATCTCAAATAATGACTCAGACAAATGCTGAGGAAGAACACTTCCCAAATGACTTAGGATCTTCTTCAAGTAATTAAAGAATGAACCACAAAACAGACCAAAGGAAAAAAGAAGGAACAGATTCACAGACATAAGAACAAAAATACATGAGTTAGAACTCAAAAACTGGTTCACTGAAAAAATAATAGAAAATAGATAAAACACTAAATAAACTAATTAAGGAGAATAAAAGGGACAAAATGCAAATACACAAACTAAGAATTAGTTAAGGGGGGAATGACCATAGGAAGAGAGAGAATGAAAGGAATCTCAAGACACTACTTTGTTCAATGTGACTAAACAAATTCTGAAAAATCATAAATAATATTCAAATAAAGCATATTTTGCTAAAATTGACTAAAAAAGAAGGAAAAAAATGTAAAGAGATTGATATTCAGGTTGATACTCCAGATACTTTTGTGACAGGGGCCTCAAATAATAAGAACTGAATCTAGCTGTACCAATTCATTCTGGCTGAATATCAACTTTCCCAATGGCCACAGAAAAACTGGACAAAGAGCCACCCTTAGAAGAGGCATAGGTACTGATGGTTTAAGAGGGAATGCTGCTAAAGCATGAAATAATAGAAAATTCCAAATTACTGAAATTATTTTAGAATGTAGAAAAAGAAATAATAATTTAGTATTTAACAGAGATAACACAAAAGTAGGAAAAATGTTGAAGGGAGATAGACAACTCAATAAATATTATTGGGACAATTGAGTAGCTATCTGGATCTACACCTCACACCACTCACCAAAAAAAAAATCAAATAGACCAGTGATTAAAATATTCAAAATGAATACTTAAAGTACTAGAAGACAATGTAACACAATTATAATCCTAAAATGAAAAGAGCTTTGCTAAATAGATCAAAATATCGATAAACCTCAGTGAAAAAATTGTTACATTACATAGAAAAATGACTGTATTGCAAAAAAATACTATAAGCAAAATTTAAAGACAAATAAATAGTGGTGGGAAAAAAATGAACATTTGCAGGTCTCACCATAGCCGAGGGACACATAGATTAATAGATAAATAGTTCCTGCAAAGCAAAGAGAAAAAGATAAAAATCCAACAGAAAAATGGGCAAAAGAAATAGGCGTTAATTGCCAAATAAAGGAGAAACAAAAGACTTTTAACATATGAAAGCTGTTCAAGTCACTCATGTTAAGAAAAATAAAAATGAAAGCTACATTTAGAAACCATACATTACTTTACAGATTGTCAAAACCCCAAAAGTTTGTTAACAGCCTCTGTGGGAAAGACAAAAGAGAAACAGGCATTCTCATATATTAAATGGTGGGGATATAGATTTGTACAACTCCTCTGAAAGGCGATTTGGGAAATAGCTGCCAAAATTGCAAAGACGTATGCCCTTTGACACAGCAATCACACTTCCCGAGAGTTTATCCCGCAGGTGTTACTCCACATGTATAAAAATGACATAGGTGAAAGGTTACTTTTTGTCGTAGTCTATAGTAGCAGACAATCTAAAACGACCCAAATGCCAACCAACAGGAAACTGGTTTAATAAATTGTGGTACATCTATACCGAGGAAAGCATCATAACTGATTAAAGAAACAATAATGAGAAAATTCTCTATACTGGCATGGAAAGATCTCTAGGAAATGAAGTTAGATTAAAAAATGCAAGATGTCAAGTACTATATTTAGTATGTTAACTTTCATGTAAAAATAGAGAGAAAATAAAAATGTACTTATAATTTCATATATTTACATTTTATAGAACGTGAGGATACACAGGCAATTAATGACAGGGAGAGTTGGGGGAAACTAAGCAAATGCAGGTCAGTAATGGGAAGGAGGTTTTCATCTTATCAAAACATTCATGTATATTATATAATAATACCTATTTTAAAAATGAGAAAATAGTTTCTAGGAAGGGAGTACTTGCTCATGATAGAAAGCCTAGGAGGTAGTGGAGCCAAGATATTAATTGAAAAATAGAAATTGAGTTAAATAATGTGGCACATGATTATATATAATTTCTGTGGCTTTGAAATGTAAAGTATAACAGGACCATTCTGAATAGTGCTTCACTTTACCTTACAGTAGAATGTAGAACTCTCTTCTTCATGGGATCCTTTTTATTCAGACGTTTCACTTGATCCCGTTTTATCAAGGGTTTTTTTAAAGGAAGAACACAGGCATCAGGGGAGGGGAAGAACAGTTTGGAAAGCGTGTTGGCAACTCTCCATCCTATATATTTGGAGAAAATTTCATCCCCTACATTTGATGAAACTTTTGTATTGTAACTAGTGAAAGGATCAGTTGTGTCATTTAACTCAGCCTGTTGAAAGAAAAGAAAAAGGAACAAGTTAAAATAGAGTTAAGTGAGAGGAAAAATGATGACTTGTTAAGATAAAATCTATGTTCATTTTCTTCGACTAATGTTGCATTCTTCCTGTTAAATAAAAATAACCTTTATAAGAAAAAATGCAGTTTCCCAAAAGATTTAAAAAATCATACCAACAATTTTCAGTGAAATAAACAATTAAAGCATGAATGAAATCAGTCTTGAAATTTCAAAAATTTAATGATATAATTTCTACTTGAAATTTGTACACTTCCTACACAAGAATTTCATAAGGTATGATATTTATTTATTAAGAAATTAAGCAATCAGTTGAAGTAATGTACATATTTTATTAAATCAGAATTCCATTTTCTTGGTGCGTAATTCTAAACTTTCCTTGAAGCATAGGAAATGTCTACAGGACAAAATGTCTACAGTAAAAAACAAAAAGGGCTCTGTATTTAGCTCACATTGAAGATGTTCAAGGATTTATATTTTGATTAAGTTTAATATGGTATAATGTTTTAAAAAACCTAACACAAAAATTCCACAATATTCAACCAATCTTTAGTTAGGAAAGAGCTATTTTCTGAATTTTCTTACTTATGTTCAACAACGTCCATGACTGATTTTTTAATTACATCTTCTTTTGAAATGGCTAGAGAGGTATTTTCCTTGGCTGGCATAGGTAAAAATAAATGAAGATGTAAGTTTCAAATGTCATGTGTTATACCTCTTTTAATGTTCACAATATGTTCATATTAGGAGCTCTCTTTCTCATAAATAAATTGGATGCTGCCTCCTTTTGTTTTAAGTTTTTATGTTTTTTATTCATATTGTCCATCTTCATGCAGCTCATAACCAGTCACTCAAGATTCATTTTATATGCTGATGGATCCTGTGGTAGGAAATTAAGGAATGGAAAATATTTTTCTGCATACGAATCCCTAACTCAACCTCTTTAAGATTCCAAGATCAGGAACTACTGTTGAATTGACTATTGCATTATTTGGATGAAATTATAGTAGAAAAAAAAATAGAACAATCTCATGATAAAGACTGAAAAACATAAAGGGTTAAAGCAATGAGTTAAAACAGCAAAAGGCAAGTAGCAAATATGGATTACTGTGAAAGTCAGAGAGGATGGGAAAGAATAACATGCAAAAAAATATATATGAAAAGGATAAGGTAAAAATCATGCAAGTAAGTAAGAACCAAAACAATGAAATGAAGACTCAGAATGCTAAAACATTAATATCACAATTTTTAAAAGCAGGCATATTTTTACAATTTCAGAAAAAGAACTTTATCACTAGCCCTCATTGAAATATATCCATTTTTAAAATATCTTTGATTTCAATTATGTCTGGATATGGGAATCAGTATACAATCATGTTTATAGTATTCCCAGTCATGTATCTTGCTTATTAATTACGTCAAAATCATGGAAAGAACATTCAACTTGAAACCAGAAATTAAACTGTGTCTAGGACACTTAGTAGCTATTGTGACTTTGAGGACGTTACTTAATGTCCGTCTGCAGGTTCATCTGTAAGATGGTAATCACAGTACCTGTAATGTTTATTCTGCTTACCTTCCCAGCTTAATTTCTCATAAGAAAAAGTACTTCAAAATCAATAATAATATACAGTATTGCACAGATGTATTACTATAAGCTCTTCCATTACTAAGAGAGTGGTGAATGAATAAATGTGTGATTAAATGAATGGACCAACAGGGACCGGCCCCCATGACCAAGTGGTTAAGGTTCTGCATTCTCCACTTCTGTGGCCTGGTTTCGTGGGTTCTGATCCCAATTGTGGACCTACTCCACTCATTAGCCATGCTGTGGAGGCGTCCCACATACAAAATAGGAGGAAGACTGTCACAGATGCTAGCTCAGGGAGAATCTTCCTCACTGAAAAAAATTAAAAAAAGAATGGACCAACAAAAAATAATGTCTTTTCATGACATAATTTCTGGTAAAATATACTCTTTCCAGAGGTAGGATTACCCTGCATTACAGAATTATGATGCTCTTTTCATCATGTCTCTTTAGACTACTCCTTGCTTTCTTCCTTCCCAGACTAGACAGTTTGTAGATCCAGATGCAAGCTCTCCCAAGGAACAAAATGAAGCATTCCCACATCTTTCATGATGGTTCCCTGATTGAAAGCCCAGGTAAATTTCCCTCCCCCATTGATGCCCATGGCATTCAACTTATGGAAATATAGTTTCAAATATGGGTCAAATGTATATTTGCCTTATGTATAAAAGACTTTGTTTGTTTTCTGCAGGAAGTACCAGGAAATAATATGTGCTTTACAGTTTGAAAGATCTGAAATCAGGTCTGCTTTTCCACTTCCTACTTAATAATGCAAACTTGGGATACTTAGTTAGCCTCTCCAGGCCTATGTTTTGTGTTTGGTTTAGCTCTGTCTTATTTTTCATTTGTGATATGGAGATAAAAATAACTGCCTCTCAGAGTTTTGTGAGGGTTCACTTAGCAGACAGTGAGAAGTTCAATAGGTATCAGTTCCCTTCAGGAATTCCCTAAGACGGCACTATTGCTCCAGCCTTGCAGCAACCCCCACCACCAACTGAGAGAAGACTTGACAGAACCTCTGACACACTGCAAACAGTTTTCTTATATTGTCTCCTTTACATTAGAAAATTTATGAAATCTGAGCATCATTATACTTTTATAGGCATCTCCTTTCTTTTAAAAAAAAATGTGCTTTTTGGTGAGGAAGATTGGCCCTGAGCTAACATCTGTTGCCAATCTTCCTCTTTTTTTTTCCTCCCCAATGCCCCAGTACATAGCCGTATATCCTAGTCGTAGGTCTTTCTAGTTTTTCTATGTGGGATGCTGCCACAGCATGGCTTACTGAGCAGTGTGTAGGTCCTCGCCCAGGACCCTAACTGGTGAACCCTGGGCTGCTCAAGCAGAGCACACAAACTTAACCACTTGGCCATGGGGCTGGCCCTTGGCATCTCATTTTTAAAGAGTCTTCCTTCTCTTAAAGCCGTTATTCTAATATTACAATTCAGAGACTTAAATGCCAACTATGCATAAATATAAATCTATACATAGAAGTAGACTTATGCAAAATATTAATGATATTCCTGAATGATAATGATAATGATATTGAGTTACACAAAATATTAATGATATAATTCCTTCCAACAGAACTGTATTCATGAATTTACTACTATTTAGCCTGCCAATGAACATTACCTCAAACTCAACCTTTAAACCTTTTTTACACATTTACACATTTACATTACACATTTTTTACACATTTTTACACATTTACACTTTCATCATGCATCCCTATGTAGCAATGGCCACGTAGGCTTTAAAATTCAGAATTGTTCATATTGGATTGTTGAAACTTGGCATTTTTAATTAAGAAACAAATGGCAATTTTTGAATATCTGTGTTAATTTTACTGATTTAATATTAAGATTGGACAAAGGGCATTCTTAAAGAGTATTTCTCTCACACACATACTATAGCCACATGCACGAGCAGATGCCCACCCTTTGTCTTTGTGTTGCGCATAAAGATGGTAAAAACCAGCATTAATATAGGTTGGCGAGAAGACGCATAAGTCAGCACCAGGGGGAATTCCCCAAGGAATTATGATATGGCAGCAATACAAAAGAAAAAAGCCTCTCCAGAGTTCTGAATTTTCCATCAATAATTAGGGAAATGTAGCAAACACATCAAAATTTAAATTAACTCACACTACCCTTGACATGTCTCTCATAAAGGAGAAATAGGATGTCAAGCCATTGCAGCAGAGTTTGCAGCAAATTCTATCTTCGTCTCTTGCTGGCTGTCCCTTTTTTGTCTCCACCTGTCCTTAAGTAATCTTAGAGCTGGGAATATTTAACTTGTTTGTGAAAAAAAAAAGAAGACAATTTTTTTCTTTAAACTTTAAAATTTAAATGTAAATGACTCATTGGTAGTCTCAAAATACTATTTCCTACAGGAGTTATAAAAGCTCACAAAGGAAAACAGCATGAGTACTCTTTGCTACTAAAATTGTGGTCCTTAGAGCATCGTTATTGTCATTACCTGAGAGCATGTTATATATACAGAATCTCAGGCCCTACTCCTGTATGCACACTAAAGTTGAAGGACTGAGGGGATAAGAAAAGGACTGGATGGGAATATCCCATTTTCTGACTTACTAGTGACGAGATCTTACACAAGTTACCTAACCTCTCTGAGCATGTTTCCTTATTCTTAAAGTGGGATGATAATAATAATCCCCTTTGCAGGGTTATTGTAAAGATCAAACATAAACATTGAATATATTTTCTAGCACAGTGTCTGGCACACAAAAGGTTTTTCAATAACTGTTAGTTTCTTGTTTATATTTAATTTCGGAGAACGCACAACATAACGAAATGGCAGAGCCTTTGAGTTAAGCTCACTCATAGGCGCATCCACCACCAGTTACTTATTTTAATCCCGTTTAGACTCAGATCCCCCATCTGCATGGGTGATGATGGTGGTGGGAGAGCTATGGGGCTTAGATGAGTTAATATATGTAAGATACTTAGCACAGTGCCTGGCACATTGTAGAAGCTCTACAAGATAGTTTCGTTCTCTTAAAATGATATATCTGTTCCATTGGAATTCTACTGATAAGCATTAAAGAAACTATTCTCTTCCAAAAATACATCCTCCTTTCCACACTCATGTTTCCATTTATGTCAAAAGAGGAGCCATGTGTGGAGAAGGAGGGAGATAGGTGCTGAGAGACTAGAGAGTAATAGTGTCATTTGTTCTATTTTGCTGCTTTATAGAGTACATTAGGCGTATGGAAATATCATTAAGAATAAAAACAAATTTCATTTTAAAGATCTCACCATGAAATGTTAAGCACCAAGCTCTTTACCTGATGAGTCAAAGGTACTCTGAAGAAAGTCACATATTCATTTTAGCTGTACATATTTCTTTCTGATATTTTAGGTCATAT